TCTTAAGAAAGCCAGTAAACACTTTCTTCTATTCACAATAACCGGAAAGGTTTAGTACAATTAGTCACTAGCTGTACTTTTCTGGGACTGTTGGTTACCTGGCTTCAGAGATTTGTCCTAGTTCCTGCTTTCAGCAGATTGCATTGCTCACCCTGGCACTTAAAACGTGTCCTGCATTTATTGGGCATTCCCGAATATTGCAGCTATAAAGCCGACACCAATCTCTTTCTATTGTTTGATGTCTGTGTTAAAGCACCTCGCGCTCTGCCATAACCTGTAGCACTGACTCTATGCAATGGTTTGTAATGGTCACAAAATATAATTAGTTATGATAAACAATCCTATAAAAGACGTGCCACCAAATGTTGAAGTGCCCAACTGTAAAAGAACATGAAGTACTGCTTTCTCATGTGCAGTTTGGTTTGTGTAGGAGACTGAGTGAATGGCGTGTTTCGCTGTTCATCCTTTAACAGAGATGTCATATAAATCTTTTTCTTTGTTAGGATGATGACAATATTCCGTTACGAGTGATGCTGTTACTCATGGATGAAGTCTTTGACCTAAAAGAAAGAAATCAGTGGTTAAGAAGACAGATTACCAGTCTCCTTCAACAGCTCATCAGGGCAACATATGGAGACACAATTAATCGGTAAATAGCTTTGTTTGACTTTAATGTGTGTTCTGCCTCATCAGGCAGTTCACTAGACTTGTACAGGTTCCATGAAAAATACTCTCTTTTTATTATCACTATAAAAATTTACCATGCTTTACACAGCTGTTTATGATAAAGCAACTTATGCAGCTGATTTTTTTTTTTTTTTTTGTTCCAGAAAAATTGTTGATCATGTGGAGTCCATGACATCTCCTGATCAAGTAGCGGATTATGTGAAGCATTTCAGGTAAATTACAAGAAAAATAAATGACAACTGTAATTGTGGAATGTGTGAGAAAGTGCTATTGTGTAATCCCTACTCTAGCTTGACTAATTTTAAAGACGGGTATGTTACATAACAATCTAGGTGCTCAGAACATTCTTCTACTGAGATCTGTTTCCAGGGCATTGATTGGTGGAGCTCATGCAAATGCACTGCTACCATTTACCGTTTCATAACGTGCCTAGTAGTGATATGTACTATATGGCCATCAGTTTTTGAAAACCTGACCATTACTGCTATACTAATTGGCCAAAAGTATGTGGACACAAGGGGCGGATTGCCCATTTGGAAACTTGGGCAGTGCCTGAGGGCCCGGGGTCAGTAGGGGGCCCCATGAGATGCCCCTGGTACCTTTTTTCCTAGGCTTTTTTGAGGTTGGGCAAGGACACAGGGGCCCCATGATCCCCTATTGCCCGGGGAACCCATGAGTTGTCAGTCTGCCCCTGGTGGACACCATTCCAAATTGCTGAGTTCAGGTGTTTCCATATAAGGCCACTGTAAAGCAGTATTACACCCAAAATAAAACAAAAAAAAAAAAAACACTCTTTTGCCTTCGGTATGTGTTTACCTATCAACGTGTGCCTTTCTTTTTGTTTGCATCATGTTACTTTTGAATAAAATGCCAGTTGATCCTGCTAGTGACTTTTGGTTCCAGGTCTGCATTGACAACAATCTGCATGCTCTTTGCCCGACATTGCAAAAAAAAAAAAAAAAGCCAAGTCTGTGGCTTACTGTTCATGGCCCAGGTGGTGGATGGGACCAAGCTGCAGCACATCACTGGTAAAAACTCTTGCACTGGAAGAGTGTTTACTGTTGATGTCAGGGCAACGTGCTACAGCTTGGTCCAACCACCACTCAAGCCAGGAAGAGCCCAGAAAAAGTAGAGTGGTCATGTGACCTGAAAAACAGAAAATAAAGGGGTATTCAGGAGCTTTTTTTTGTATTTAATGCTTTCAGATTTTATTTTTATAGACATTACACTAGGTTGGGACAAGAGCATGTGGGTTTACAATTGTTTTAATGCTATGGCATACTGTACAAAGATGTTTTTAGACCAGGTTCACATGTGTGTGGAAAGGCCTATTAAAACATATTATCGTAAGACAGGCCATTCATTTTAGTGAATTCTGTGAACCTGCACTTGGACCTTTGTGCGCTTTGTGGCAGCAGTATGGGGAAAGACTCTTTTTCTGTTGCAGGATCAGACCCCTGTGTTGAAAGTCTGGTGCATAAAGACACAGTGGGGTTTATTTACTAAAGCTGGAGAGTGCAAGATCAGGCTCACATAAACCAATCGGCTTCCAGTTTTTTTTTGCTAAAGCTTCATTGAACAAGTTGGAGTTAGAAGCTGATTGGTTTATATGCAGAGCCTGATTTTGCACACTGCAGCTTTAGTAAAATAAACCTCAGTTTGTAAAGTTTGCTGTCAAGGACTTAGAGTGGCCAGCATAACACCCTGACCTCAATCCTATGCAACAATTTTGGGTTGAATTGGACAACCAACTGTGAGCCAGGTCTTCTCATTCAAAATCAGTAGCTGAACTCACAAATTTTCTTTTGACTGAATGTGGAGACTGTTATATCCACAAAAAGGGGACGTGGAAATGCAGCATGCAGAATTTCAAGTGTTCAAAATGCACCTGCGCCTTGTCCATGTAAAACAAACCATTGGAGAAACAGTAGATGTGTGTGTTTAACCATGGCTCAAGGGCTGCATCCAACATTTGACCTTCTCCTTTGCAATGGTACAGCAACTGACCACCATCAGTTCAGTACTCTATAGCAGTGGTGTCCAAACTGTGGCCCTTTCCTTGCTTTTATCCAGCCCTTTGGACAATAGCTCATCCTCTGACACCAACAGTGGGGCATAATTCTCACACACACACACACTACTGACACTAACGAAGGGACACAATTCCTCCCAATGACACCAACAATGGGGAACAATTCCTTCCAGTGACACCAACGATGGGGCATGAGTCTTCCCACCCAATGACATGAACAGTGGTGCACAATTCCTCTCACTGATACCAAAGATGGGGCACTGTTTACTTCCACTGACGCCAGGACATTTTTTACTGCCAACAGTAACTGCACTGGACACCGCCATGCACTGTACTCTGTAACTCACTGGAGACCGCCATGCACTGTACACTGTAACGCATTGGAGACTGCCATGTACTGTACACTGTAACGCACTGTACTCTGATACACTGAACATTGCAATGCACTGTACTCTGTAACGCATTTGACACCGCAATGCACTGTAAACTGTAACACGCTGAACACCGCAGTGCACTGTAAACTGTAATGTACTGAACACCGCAATGCACTGTATACTGTAACACACTGGACACTGCCTTGCACTGTACACTGTAACGCACTGGACACCGCAGTGCACTGTAAACTGTAACGCACTGGACACCGCAGTGCACTGTAAACTGTAACGCACTGGACAGTGCCATGCACTGTACTCTGTAACACACTGTACTCTGATACACTGAACACCGCAATGCACTGTACCTGGTGCCTGGTGTGCTCTCCTCCTGTCCTGTTGCTCCTCTTGCTGCAGAAGGTGAAATCCGGGGCTTCCAGGCTGACGCTCGCTGGGTGCTCGCAGTGAGCAGCCTAGCTAGTTACCGGCCGGCACCATTTTTTTTTTTTTTTTTTTCCCTTCCCTCTGCCAAAAAAGGTATTTGGCGGGCCGTAGTTTGAGGACCCCTGCTGAACATGCTCATAATGATAAATGTTTGATTAACCAGTTCAGTGATCATACACTGGAAAATGCTCAATTTGGAAACATTTGATTGGGTTTTCAAGCAGAAAGAAACTATTACGAAAACTATTACCAAACCTGCTGTCGGTTGCAGTTACCTCTTGCATTGTCTGTATCTGTAGCATGATAATTTGTAACTCATCAAATGGTTACTGTTTACAGAGACTCCTTTTGGCCGAATGGAATATTGGCAGAAACAGCCGCCCGCCGAGACCGCAGTATACGAATGCGCACTAGAGTGGCAGGAAAAACAAAGCTGCTGGAAATTATGCCAGGTATAGTGACCACACTTATCTTTTCAGTGCAGTGTTTAAAATTGGTCCTTCTAGACCAGAAAAGTATTGGATTTGAAATTTCCTTGTAATTTTCCCTCCATCCAAAGCTATATATAACAATATATAAATATTCTGGTTGTGTCATTTACACGCCGGCTTCTTTTATTTCTTAGGGGAAGAAGTCAACCAACTTGTGTTCTAAGCTTTTATCTACTTGCCTACTGGGCATGGAACTTTACTGTATAATAATTTTTAAAAAAATGCAGCAGACTCTAAAAATGGATGTTAAAGGTGAATTCAGTTGCATATTCATTAAGGGTCACAAAAAGTATTGTTAAATGCATGTGCTGTAAGTACCTGAATTTGTATGAGCCTCTTGTGGTCCCCTGTACAGCAGCACTCAGAGAGGTAGGGGGCATCACTAAGGGCAAGACAGGTGCTGCCGTGCACATGTGCAGACAGGAGGAGAAGGTAGTGTGGGCATTAGAATGAACCCTGCTGATTCTTCAATGTCCAATCACAGGCTGAGGTTGGGAAGGGTGTCCTAGCTTTATTGTTCCACTGCAGCAGAGAAAAGTCAGGTCACTAGTCTGGCTGCAAAGTATGGTAATTGCGTAAATCTCAGGACTTGAAGGACAGAAATACAAATCATTTGAAGGTAAAACAGCTCTAATATATGTATTTTAACCAAGCATTTTTCTGTGTGTCTGCAAATTAACTTTTTGTAACTTGTAACTTTTTGTAAAAACACTTTTCTTTCCCTTAGATGAACTGAAGCACATCATTGGGGCAGAGACAACGCGAAAGGGCATTCTTCGTGTCTTTGAAATGTTTCAGCACACCCAACTAAACAGAAGACTTGTATATGTGTTTTTGGAAGGCTTCCTGGAAACATTATTTTCACAATGTAAATTCAGAGAGCTTTTTATCAAACTGCATTCCAGGTCGGAAAGAACACGGCGATATAAACAGAGACCGCAATCTTCCCATGCACCCGCCTTACAGAAAAGGTGACACTCCAAACTTTCTAGTTGTGCCCTGAAGACTCTGCAGTGTTCTGTCCTGGAATTGCTGAACAGCGGTTTGGGGAAACTCTCTGGGGCTAAAAAACGATGTCTCCACACCAGTCATATCAAGTCCTGTAGATTATGAATTCATCCACAAGCTGCGCAGCTCTAATCATTCTTTTTACTGTTCAAGCATTTATTGGTTGGAGTAAGTTTTAACCCACAGAAAAAAAAAAGACCGCTGCTACCGGATTTGTCAAAAAACGGCTTGATGGGAGAGCTTAAGTTTCTAGTGATTTGGGAAAAGTGCCAGACTGTATTTTTCTACATATTCTTCAAGCACAAATGCATTGCTATGCTGGAGGATACACAAGTTGGTGTTGTAAATAGAGATTTGTGCAATGGGCAACACTATTGTGGTGTGAGTGGATGCTTGCTAGGGTGGGATTAACGTTCCCATGTAGCAGACAGGTGGAGATTCAGTGAAAAGTAATCAAATAAGAGAAGGGACTTACTAGTTGAAGAGGCCATTGTTTGTGACCCCTGAATTTAGAAATGGTCAGCTGTCAGCAAGTACAAGCTATAACAGACTCATTATATACCGTTCGTTTAGATCTTTAGTAAGTTTTTATTTCAGGTTTTACTTTTTCATTTACAATCAGTCTGGCAAATTCTGTTTGACTTGGTTAGGCTATTTTGCAGGTTGGATTTGAAATTGTGGCTATTCTTTGATCACACTTCTTGCCTGGTATAATGCTCTCCTGTGGCTGTGAGTTTTATAATTACCATTGGTTTGGAGCCTACAACCGTACTAAATGATGTGGCAGTGAAGAATCCTTTACAGCTATTGATGGTGGTTGTGAGCCAGGCTGCAGGCCAGATTCCCTGCTGTGTATTACGGAGTTGGCTGCAGGAGAGCATGTGATGATTTCATAGCCACACCTTAGTGAATAAAGATTTGCACATGTACCAGAACTTGAAGGACCGTCTGCAGGAAAGTGTTAAACTCAGAGGACCTGTTGAGTCATGTACATCACCCAGCTTGTTTACTGAGATGGGAGAGCTGTATGAAGCTTGAACCCTTGTTTGAACCCTTTTTCTGGTTCTGGGTTGGTTAAGGAAGGTGCATCCATAAAATTTTCACTTAACATCCAGAATCCCTAATAATAAACCAAGGGCTGTAAATAGAAGCTCTTTCTGGGGGAAATCCTTTTTAATATCTGTCTTTTAGACATTTCAAACTCCCTCTAAAGTAATGTAATAGTTTACATATTTGGAAGTGTTGCAACCACTGAATGGGGTTAGACCATAACAATTTGTGAACAATATGCATCCCTTCCACGTGTACTTATGCACAATATTGAAATGTGCTTTTCCCCAGTAGATCAGTGTAATTGAGCCAAGGGATGTGGCTTATGGCATCTGTGTGAGCACAATAGCCATTACCAGTTTTTTTACACAGAACTGTTGGGTGTAGTTGCACTTGCTATCTTATTACTTTCAATTTATTCAAATTAACATGAAAGTAATGCTTTTATTGGTGAAGTTTGTAATTTATTGAGCATTATTTGTCCATTCTTTGTTCTGTGTTTGAACCAAAAAGAAAGGCGATGTTTAGCATTTTTAAATTTTTTTTTTATACTTGATGTGGATAGAAGTGTTAGCACTTAACGGGGTATTTCAGTTAAATATGTTGCAGGGTTCTTTTCATAAGGATGTGTTTTATATCTGACTTGTTCGTTGGAGATGGCTGTGAATAAGTAAGCAATTTCGTAATGGTGCTCTAGTTACCTGGCACCACCTAAAGTTGACACTGTAAGATGTTAACGTCTAATCAGATGCAATGGCCATACAATAATGAAAACCACAAAAGGCAATGTAATATACTCCCTCAACATAAACATTAAAAACTAAAATGCTTTTAAGCAGTCAGCTTTGGTTTGGAACATCTGTGGACACACAATGCTGACTGAGCATTATTTGCCATATTGTGAATAAAAGCTAGTACGGTATAACACAAACATCAAAAGTTTTTAACATGGCCCAGACAACTATGTCTTTTTCTCTAACTGGCTCAACCATTAAACTAGTTTGAGATCACAGCCTTAGGTCAAGTTTGCCTATCCCATCCATCAATTCATTTTGTATGTTACATGCACAGTTCCCCACATTCTTTGATATGTGCTATTTCAGTTTGGGTTGTCTACTAGTATAATGCAAAGAGCAATGGGTCCTACTGACCAATTCAAGCCACCAATCAGATTTCACTTTTCATTCCATCAAAACCATTACTAGCAATCACTGTTGTTAGGTAAACTTGCCCAAGCCCTTGCAGGTTAGGTCATGTCAGGCTACTTCTTGACTGTGCGTCAGCTTCTGGCTTCAAAAGGTTTGGGCAATCATGGCGGTGGCTAAACCTAATACATTTGGGCATCCTACCTGGGTGTCAACTTCTCATATCATTCTTGGCACAATGAGACTAAAACCACATATGCATACTGGTCCAGGGTTTGTACAGCATCTTGCATCCTGACTGTTCATTAGGAGGTACCTTTCACACCATCAACAATAGTTACAGATATCATGTATGTGTGTGGCCCTCTATTTGAACTGTCCACATGTATTGTTGGATATACTCAGGGGCCTCTTTTAGCTACATCTATCTAGAACCCATAAAGGGGTAGACATGGTCAGTGATAATACTCAGGTACACTGCAACATACTGATGATGCTAAGTTGGTATCCATGCCCAGCAACATTTTTCTAATCTTCAGTCCAGTTTTGGTGATCCCATGCTCTTTAGTAGACTTTGCTGAGAGGAATGGAACTCGGCCTGATCTTCTGTTGCTGTAGCCTTTCCTCTTCAAAGTTCTACCCGTTATGCACTCAGAAATTCCCTTCACCATAGGTCTATAAAGTGGTTATTGGAGCATATGTGAACTTTTTGGCCAGTCTCCTGTGACCTATCTTATTTAGGTTTTTAGGCATTTCCTACACAACTGCTGTTAAGTGAATCCATTTGCTTTTCTTGCTATTCTCTGGAAACTCAAGACAGTAGTGCTTGAAAAATCCCAGGTGGCCTTCAGTTTCTTAGATGCTATTATCACCAGGAAACCACACTTGTTCTGTGGTTAAGGTTGCTAACAATCGTGCATCTTCTTTATTCTGATCTTTGGTTGAACAGCATCTGAACCCCTTCATCATCTTCATGCTTTTGTGTATAGTGTTGCAGCCACATGATCTGCTGTGCTAATAAAAAGGGCCACTGTGTGCAAGTCCTCATGTATACCATTTGGAATACTAAACAATACATATACTAGGATTTGTGTAGCAAAGATGGAAGGTAGAAAGTTTACAGTGAACCAAGACTGTTTTTGTGTCAATCACGAGTTGCTTCAGTTCAGGTTCCAATCACAACAGCCGTTTTTTCTTTTTTTTTTTTTTTTTTTTTTTTTTTTTTGTACTAGATTGGTTGAGGTCTCCATTTATAGGTAAATAGTATGCATGTGTGAGTGTGTGTTTGTGATGAAGCCCTTGCTCATTATGTAATACAGTGTCATTCTATGTTTAACACGTCAAAGAAGTTGAGAATTTTAAAATATATATTTTTTTAATCTTAGTTTTTTCATGATTTAGTGAATCTGCAGAGTGCTGCTCAATAGCTGCTGTATCAGACTGTGAAGCAGTTCACAAATTAAACCTGCCATCCACTTTGTCCGCTGTAGAATCCTGCAAATTGATTGTACAATGTGGTGTATATATATTACATGCAGCTCTATATTACAGCACTGTTATGTCTGGACAGCACCATCCATCATATGGATGCTTTGATCCGTTGCTGGAAATAGTTTGTGCCATTGTCCAAAACAAACACCCTTGTTTTAGCCTTAATAGTTAGTTTTAAGCAAATTAACCATTTATTTTTGGCTCTTTTCCAATCATTGTACTGATGGCATTGGATACATGTCTATAAGGAAATGCTCCAGCTTTTGAAACAGAAGTTTAACAAGTGTTGTATTTGTTTTGTGTCATTTAAAGATGTGCAATATTTATATGCAATATTGGTGGTGTCACTAAGAGTGAACCATCTATACAAAGCTATACATTTCCTTGGATGGATGGGATGAGAACTGCCTGTCTGTTAAATTATACTGCCCTCTGCACACACCATGTGAAGGTCCATTGGGGATGTCTACAAGACAAAGAAAATCTAGAAGACTAAAGGCAGAACGCCAAAGTGGTCCATCGAGGCTGCCTTCCCCACTTCCTTTATTGCCAGAAATGTGGGTTTTTTTTACATACAATCAGTTGATTAAATTTCTTTTTCATGTTCTTATTAAGTGCAGTAAGCCACAGCAACCAATCAGAATCCATTTTGCAGTGGTCTGATTGCAGCAGAGTGAATTCTCATTAGTTGCAATAAGTTAAGCTAGGCATATATAACTTAAATTTGAGCCAATTCTCCCGAACCAGCTGAAATTTGAGCCATGGATAGCCCTGTCTGCACCACCCTGCTCGACAAAACTCGATTGGCTGAGTTAGTTATCTGAACAGTGACAGCCTGCCTTAGATGCAGTCGCTGTTTGGGTTTTCAGGCAGTTGTGTGTGCTGTGGTTTCCTGAATACAGTGGCTTACGCTGGAGATTCCTCCTCCATACTGTTTAGTGTGGATGGGTGAATTGATTGATTTATCTTGTTAAACCCACATTGCTGAACAGGAGAAATCTACATGTGTATTGGAAACCTTATTGCGGGCAAGAATTATTGAATACGGCTAATGAAAACTTTAATCGTGTGCAGCTCTGAATATCCACAATGAAGCAGAAAATCTGCATTATTTTAAAACACAGGCATCTCTCATTACCGTCAACCCAAGAAGAAATTTTTAGTTTTTGATCAGATGTCTTATTCCTCAATAATAATTAAAAAAAAACTTCAACATTAGAAGGGTATAGAAAAAACTTTTTACGAGTACAAATATTTGGGAGCTGGTCGGCATCCCCAGCG